GGAGCGCGCCCTGTCCGGCCTCTGGCCCCGACTGACAGACGCAAGACAGACGGACGGCAGAGGGCGGGCTGACCGCGCGCGGGTGGGGAGACCCTGAGGGTTCCGGAGGCCTCGCGGCCTTGGGGGTGTGCTGGCACAAAAGGGCGCCCTGGGCGCAGGGAGGGCTGAGACGCCAGCTGGGGCGCAGCTGCCCGCAGGCCTTGGGGTGCCCAGACCTGCGCGGGGTGGAGACCCGGCCTCACATTGTAGCCTTCTCCTGACCAGGCCCCAGGGGCCAGCAGCCACTGAATGGCCCTGACCCTCCGGCCGGTGGCCAGGGCGGCGGGTAGTGAGTGGCCTCTGCAGGGCCCGGGAGCTCAGTCACAGCAGCGCTGGTCTGTTCCTCCCCGGGTGGCAGTGACAGGCCGGGCCCAGGCGCGTGCCCGCGGGCGTAGTCTCTAAACCCCAGGCTCCTGCAGCTCCCCGGCTTCCTACCCTCTCTCCGGCCCCTTGAGCTACCGTTTGAGGACCGAGCCTAAGTAAACAGCTTTGCCCCGCCAGCCCGCCTGCACCACCCCTGGGCTCCAGGGCCTGCGGAGAGCCGCATCTCAGCCCCCCACCCCCAGGGGCCCCTTTGCCTTCTCCGTGGCCCACGTGCTGACAGCACCCACCTCCCGTGGCCCAGCCGGCGTGGTCCTCGGTGACAGGCAGCATGCCCCAGCTGTGGCACCTGCTGCTTCTGCATCCACCTCCCTCCTTCCTGCCGGGCGACAGCCCCACGTGCCCCCTCTCCTGTGGCCTGTGACTTGACCCCGGGCCGCCCTAGCCCGTCTCCTGCCTCAGACGGGATTTGCACGTGGCCAGCTCTTGGCCAGGCAGCGCGTGGCGAGGGCTTGGGGCAGGCCTGCCTTTCGCGGAGCTGAGTCCCATGGTAGACACCAGAAGAGGCCTGTTACAGGGGTGAGGCCTCCAGGAGCAGAGGGAAGTGGCCCCAGGGCCTTTGCCGCGGCCGGAGCAAGCTGTTCCTGAAGCCCACAGCAGGGTTTTCCTTCGTGCGGTCTGCACTGACCGGCTTCACGCCAGCACTGACCTCGGGACTGGGGACTCAGCCGGGAATAGCAGTAGTCTGCACCCTGCAGAGGTTACTGCTCGGCCTCAGGGCTTCCGCGGCTGTTCCCTGTCTGGACTGATCCGCCTGAATTTCCCATGGCCGCCTCCACCCCAACCTCCCAGTCCCCCTCTCCCATTCTCTGCATTACTGTGCGCAGCATGAGTCACCGCCCCTCACTCTGTGGAACACTTCCTTCCTTCGCGGATCCTGGCTCTCTCGCTAGAACGTCAGGTCTGAGGAGGGGCTTTCACCTGCGCGGGAGCCTGGAGCCGCTGGCACGGCGGTAGGGAGTGGACATAAAGCTCCCTTAGGGGCATGGACATTCCGGTGTGAATGCGCGGGCAGCTGGGGTGAGGGGCACAGTGAGCGTAAAACAGCACATGCTGTTTCTGGCTAAACCAGCTGGGACTTCAGACAGTTTTCCTGGTGACTTGCAGCCTTCAGATTCCAAAGATTTACGGTGCCGGGAGGGATGCAGCGCTCGGTCAGGCCACAGGAGGGCGCGACGGAGCCTCGGCCCTGGCAGGCCCGGGAAGAAAGAGGTTCAGGAGGCCCACAGCGGAGGGAGGCCTGTCCCACCTCCCGGCCCTCCCCTACGGGGCCTGTCCCACCTCCCACCCTCCGGGGCCTGTCCTACCTCCTGGCCCTCGGGGCCTGTCCTACCTCCCAGTGGCCCTCCGAAACCAGTCCTACCTCCGGTCGGCTCCCGGGCCTGTCCCACCTCCCTCCCCTACGGGGCCTGTCCCACCTCC